TTCAGGCTGGCCTGGCCCTGGGGCATCCCAGCTCATCTGGTCGGCTCAGAGCTCCCTGCATGAAGGATGAGCATCCTGGGCACGCCAGGGATGGCTGCCCGCCGTGAACTTCCCAGCACAGAGCTCTGGGACAAGCAGGGCCCTGCAGGGCCGTGCACTGGCTCTGTGGAGAGTACCAGCTCCGTCAGCGAAAGCAACAACAGGAGCATAGCGTCCACTGTGTGACCTTGCAGGCCCGTGGACACACAGTCTCTCTTAGTCCTTGTACGCAGGTCAACTAGATGAACACAGGAGAAGGACATAGTCTGAGGAAGTGGAGCAAAGAGATGCTACAATTAGAACAAGACCATCGACAGCTACACTGGTCTCAGAACAGAGATGCAGTTCTTGAAATACTTATTTTCTCCCCATGTTGTGTTGTCTAAGTGCCTTCAGGTTACGTTTGAAGGTTGATGTTGCCTGTTTAAACTCTCCAGTTTGTGCAATGGCTGTTTTGCTGTGAACATCTGGTCCCTCATTCAGTAGGTTTTGGTGTGCTTGCATGGATGAATAGGCCGCTGTGGCTGGGGTGGGAAGGCAGCAAACAAGTGCTTTATGTAATGCTTTTATAAGCACCACTTATTTTAGAGGCCACCCAAAGCAGTGTCCAAATGATGTGGGTCAGGGGCACTGCGATGAGCCGCTCTCTAGCGTTGGGCAAGATGGGTGAAACGCACTACAGCAAGGTGAAGGAAGGATCACCAGGGAAGGTTTTCTGTAACAAAAACCTCCAGATGATCTTTGATGCCTCCCCAGATGAATGTCACATGTTTCATCACACTTTTCAGGAGAAGCCATCTCCTGCCCTTTCCAGAATGAATGCGCTTTGATTCCCACAGTGAGTGCATCAGATATGTTTTTGTGTTCGGGTAGAAGCAATCTGAAGTTATCTTTAGATGTCACAGATCACTTCTTGCCCTCTGGATCTTCTGATCAGTAGCCAGATTGTGAGTTCCCTCCAGGCTTTGTTTCAATTACAGAAGAGTTTTTCAAGCAACAAACCAGCAGCAGAGAAGAGGAAAAAAGTATTTCAAGAGTGTTGTCAAATAGGAGCTTAGAGTCCTTAGTGCCAGAGATGTGACAGTAGAGACACCATCATGACTGGGATTGTTTGGAGTTATGGGAGTCTCAAGGGGTGGAGGAATTGCAGCATATGGGAAAGGAACTCAGGGTAGAGGACTTGAAAGGGCTGGTGGCTGAAAATATGAATGTTTTCTCCTTTTGAACATTGCCTATCAACATCCTGGGGACATGGATAAATGCTATCTTCCCTGTTTAATTTGGGACGCGAACATGACTTACCCAAACTTGTTTGGTAGGTCTGTGGCAGCTGCATGGTGAACTCATGAGCCTAATCACCAAACCTGCATAGTGCTGCTGCTTTGGGCTGTCTGCAGACAGCTAATACTGCGTCCTTGTGAATTACTTGGGCAAAGTCATGTATGCCTGATACAGCTTATCAAGTCTAAAATAGCTTTAGATGAAGGCTATGGAATAAAAAAAAAATCCTCTGTGGCACACTGCAGTGACATTCTCAAATTCCTTCATTAATGTTAATCTAGTATGTCCTATTTATTTTGCTGACAAGGAAAACGATGCTTAGATAATCTCAGTCATTTGTCACAGAATGAGTCAGTTGCAGAGGAGTAGGTTTTCTAGCTTCTTACTCCCAGTTCTGAGATTTGGTCACAAAAGTTGCCTCTGTCCTGCTTTCGGACCATGACGCCTCTTCCCAAGTAAGATGAATACCAACCAACTTGTTTGGTTTTTTTTTTCTA